CTGAATGGGTGACTGATTGGCTATACGTGCAGACGATTGGAATTTTTGCGGAATCATGAATATTCTGGTTTTACAAGGAAACACATGGTACTGAAACGAGCATCGAGTATCGCGAGTGAATGACACTTGTTTAGGATTGAATAGATTCTGAACTATGAATCTGAATGCTTTCGAATTTGTTTTCGTGTTGAGAAAATTGAATAAACAAACCCAAAAATACTTCATTCTGTTGATGAAGCGACGTATTGTGCTTGCGGAGGTGTTGAAGGATCATCGGACGATATCGGAAAGTAAATCATTAGCAATCAAAAAAGCCCGTTGCCAAGGGCTTGAAGCGAACCGAAAAACTCGTCGAAAGTTTGAAAAACCGATTGAGAATTTCACAGCTACTTTAATCATAATATTATGAGTGGTGTTGGGTTTATCTTGTTTGCTATTGTCGCTCATGATTTTGGTATTTCGAGCAATGGAAAACGTGACGGCACATTTTGGAAATGAGTTAAAAACTGGTGAAATGTTTACTGTTTTTTGGATTCATTTGCTGTTTTTTGAGATTTTCTTAAGGTATTTTCGATTTTGTTCACGAATTCAACTTTTGACTGGCGAAAACCGGAGAGAATAATACTCTCGAATGGTTCCAATCTATTGAAAATGTGTAGAGGGATGACCACTGCACCATCACATCACGTAAAAGAAATTTCGAGATGACTCATTGCAACGAAATCACATAAAAGTTGAGCAATCNTGTGTAAACATTTCCTTGAATAGAAATCATCTGCTATTCCAACAATTCCTCACGAACCAATGAAAAACCAACAAACACAATCAGCATTCGCTATATTTACATTTTGATTGATTCTAGCAAATGCATTTTCTCATCATCAACAACAAAAACAACAATTAAATTCGAATATTTCCGAAATTCTCTCGAGTTTTTTTGTGATTTCGTTCGATGAGCAAAGAAATTCGTGTCTTTTACGTTATAGATGGACGTGTTGGTCATCCACTTTTTGAAGGGATCAGTGAATTTTCAATCGATTTTAAAGGTTCTATTAAATTCTTCGGTAATGTTTAGTGAAGATGCTGGAATTTGAACATTCCATAGTCACTGATAGTCTTATCGATAGGTCGGTTAATCACAGTAAGATAAATATTATCGTTCTTACTCAGAAATTATTTCCACTGAAGATGAGATTCTTCTCATTTAAGTCACTGATCAGGCAGATCATAGCTCATGAAGTTCGTTTGCAAGTAATCTCAATCAGTTAAATCGATTGCAAATCTCATGACTCAGTGTTAATCTCAGATTAATCCACCAAATTGATCATAATCGATACTTACTTCTTGCACTTTCTTTTNACTCAGTGTTAATCTCAGATTAATCCACCAAATTGATCATAATCGATACTTACTTCTTGCACTTTCTTTTCCTTCTCTTCCAGATTCGAGTTGGCCGTTGAAAGGTCTTCTTGAGCTTTGTCCAAATCATTCTCAGTTTGCATCATCTTCTTTTGTGTGTCTCGGAGTTCCTCTTCGATTCTCTCCAGCTTGTCGGTCATCTGTCGGACTTTCTCTTCGGCGGCATCGGCTCGATCGAGGGCATTGTCCTGTAGTCATTGATTGCTGTCACTATTGCTCAATTCTTGTTCTTAATCCTCGTTTGTTAATTTGTTTTGAAATCCACCTTATTAACTTTTTTAATGCTTTAATTTATTGATGACCATTCATTTCTAATCGAATAATGAATCAATCAAAACATCTATGATTCGTTTCCAATTTATCAATATTGATAATGAAAAGAGTATTTCCAAAACTTTAAACTTTTCTGCTATTAGTCATTAGTATTGCTGTCTGTCACTTTGACTTTCGTATTGATATTGTTTCAGATTAATGTGATCAATTCATTTCACATCACTTTATTGCTTTATGACTGATAAAACAAGTGTACTGTCTTGAAGAAGAGAAAGACAAGTATTGCTGACTGATATTTCCTGTTTAGTTGTAACTGCTAATTTGTATGAATCGAAAATAAAGTTTCTTATTTGTTCATGTCATTAGTGCATTCGAAGACACTACTGATAGCGTATTCAATTGAATAAATATTGATCAGTACTGTTAACCATTCCGATTGGATGTTTCGACGATCAATTTTACTGATAAGAATGTCGAAATCTTAATTTAGATGCACTCAACAGCTTGACAGCATTTCTTGAGGAATACAATTTTGAGGGCATTTTATGAAGCAAAGAAAACCGTCATCAGTCAGAGAAACTTACGATTAGTTAACTATTTCATTCTAGAGTGAAAATCTTTTTTTGAAATTTAAGCAAGTGACTTTGAATTTTAATGAGACAATTAGTCTGATGAAGGGAGCAACTCGAAATCTTTTTTATTTAGAGAAAGTTTATTTTGGCTCCGGTCAGAGAAGGTTGCACAGTGCTCCCTCCTGCACGACAAAACGATGTTCCACTTAAAAACATCTGTTGAATGGTGGTGTTTTTTTCTCGTTCGAAGTGTATTTTCACCCGTTCACCATTCAATTATGGCGAGTGGTTAGACGGAATAAATTGCACCACTTTGGCTTTACGATTACGAATTTCTCTGTGAATGAATCTTTCGAATTATGGAAGTTTCATTTTTCCGAACATTATTCTATTCTCATTTGTTCATCCATCACAAAACGTGAACGGCACGGCACATTTTTTGAAGTGCAATTGCAAATTTCACCCTTACATTGCTAAACACAAACTTTCTCTTGGTTTATACTATTCCAGCAATTTGTATAGAGAGGAGACTCACTAAGATTACGTCAAGATAGATAGATATCTGTGAATGCTGATGAATATATCGACTTGATCGAAATAAACTATAAAACACATTAACTAGCACCTTAGAAAATGATTTTAAGCAAACTTTTGAAAATAAATTTTATGATGTTACCTTATGATTTTATGATAGGATGACGATGATCATTCGATCATATCTTAGATCAACAACCATTAGTCATATTTTAGATCAACAACAACCATTCGACAACAATGCTTAGTAGAGTTAGTTGGATGGATGGATGTTCGTTGAAGAAGGCTTCAAATAGCATAAAGTGTAATCTAACTCGCTAGTGCAAAACAACACATTGAGGCAAATCAACAAGGTCGCCTCCACTCACTAGTAGTGGATTGGCTAGTCAGAGAAGTAAATCAGGCTACAGCAGCACTGCGTATTCTCGGAAAATCGTGCACTATTGAGTTTCTGCTGCTGTTCAGGTCATTCTACTGATGAAAGACTTTCGTACAAACATAGTTACATGCACTAGTTAATTAACTTACTATTCCTATTCTACTATTACGATACAAGTGATTGAAGACAACTAAATGATTTCAAGGGTTTAAGAGAACTCCGACTGAAGTTCTGACTGAACAACTTACAGTTAGCTAGGCTTATTGAGTGGCATTATAATCTCATCTCATCTGCGTGATAAAGCTGAAGAGAAGGTATCGTGAAGCTTTCGTACTGATCGTGAGTTTTTGTTGTAAAAGAATTGTTTTCTCAGATAAATCTCTGCATCGAGAAAGAAGGTCATCAAGTCTTCTCAATCTCAAATTCGTACCAATGACTCTGAGAGTTTTTTTTGGCTGCAGAAAATCTTTCGTGAAGGATATTTTGAACGGAAGAGATACTATGAATGATGAGAAATCGGTTCAAAATTGTTGATTTTGATCGATCGAAAGAACAATTTGCGAATCATTTTGGTGGCTAAGAGCCCTTCTACTGACATCCTTCGAACACCTTTCAGAAATTCTGTTTTCTTCATGAATTATTCCTAATAACCTTTTGAACAACTCTCCAAATAGATCGAAATCATTTATGTTCTTAAAAGTTCTTGATGATTCCTTCAAATCAACAAGGTCAAAATCACATTTTGAATTCCAAAAACTACTCTTGAAAAAGATTGTTTAGCAGAAAACTCTCAATGGAATTTTAAAGGAGCTCTTAAGATATCACTGGAGACTTTATGAATTGTTAAACTTTCGAATTCAAAAGATCCACTAGGGCAGTTATAAAGATTCTAAGGTTCTTCCAGTGAATACTAAACAATCAAGCGAAATTCCCATTGTTATGCTGAAATTATTCAGCTCATTCGAATGTTCTGATCTCTAAACGATTGATCTTCTTTCGGTTCTAGGTGCAATACTTGAGTTGCGAAAAAATACTTTCGAATGGATACAAAGTCAACGACATCATCAAAACATTTCTTCTTCATTGATGGATATACGTTCTTTTATCAGGGATGGATACAGTTTGATTATCCGACTTAATCGATTTGAAGTGATCAACTAATGAGTGGAGTATTCTCATGGAGAATGCGAGAAACATGAATTGGCTTCTATGTGAGCAGTTACTATTGCTATACAGTTACAATATTGATGAGAATAGGATGTTATTTAAAGTTTTCAATTTAACAATCAAGTGGAAGTATATAACTGAGTATGATGAATCTACTGATAAGATCATTGTACTATGACGACAAAGAAATTGTTGACTTCTTAACTACTAAGCTCTTAACTACTGTGGTAGATAGGTACAAGGGTGGGTATGCTTACAGATAACTGATAATGACTGAATCATATGAGTATGGTCTGTTGATCATAACTGCCATAATATTGATATTAACATCAACAAAACCGGTGATATTTCAATGCACATCAGAAAATTTTGGCTGTCTTCGAATGGATACACCTAATGACTGATAAGTCTGAATGACTGATAAGTGATAGTGACGTTTTAAATGAAAAAGGGGCATAAATTGCTAAGTTGTTGTCTTAGACATAACGAATAGAATGCTTTCGTATGGATCAAACGATTCGGCTCATGATATGGCTCTATTGATCATGATAGTGATACGATGACCGAAATGAATCATACCTTCTCGATTTTCATCGCCTGCATCTTCTTCTTGATTGCGTCCATGGTGCTGGTTGAATTGGTTGATAGATTGGGAATGCAGCCGCAGAATAAGCACACACAACAAACAATACGATGATTCGGTGATCAGCACAAAGCTTTATCAATTTTCGATTTCAACGCTGATGCTTACGATAGACGGAGGCAGACCGAGGCAGTCAACGCTAGATGGATAGAGAAATGGGTGAAGAGTTCTGTTGCTTGAAGGTGTTGATGGTTAAAGATAAGAATTATGCCTTGGGTCAGTCCTCCAGCTAAAATATCATCCAAAACAAAACAACAACAATTGAAGCACGCCTACTGTTCCCAGTTCGATGGATGGATGGATCAACGGATGAATTCATAGATAAACGCAGCAATGTGCAATTGAATTTGAAACAGATGGCGAGAATGCGAAAGAGATGAGTTGAAGAAACAAAAAGAAACGAATAAAATGGTTGAAGAAGAAAATTTTATGTGGAAACCAAATGCAAGAATATCACTGTGATATCTTATAATATCATTATGATACGTGAATATCTCTCAGAA